CCCCCCCCCCCCCATCCCAAATAATTTTCCCCAATATGTATCTCTCATTTCCGTCCGATTATGTAAACTGTCGTTTTGTGAACTCGAATTTAAAGAATTTTTTAGGTTTTATGCAAATATTTATGTATTTTATAGCAGAATTGTTAGCTTAACGTATTTCATCTAATGCAGGGGTTTCCTTTATTAATAATTAGAACTTAAACTTTTGGAGGAATAAATCTCTCAAATCTGAAAAAACCAATGAATCTATTTGTCAAGGATATATTTGGCGAAGAGAGACCTGCATCCCCTGAGCACATCGAGGATGATATTCCTACTCAAGCATTTGTGCGGCGGAAGGAAGCTGAGAGAACGGATGTGAATCCTAAACCTGTTCTTAAAACTAATAATTTATCCCGAGCTCTACAGTCTAGGCTGGATAGGAGGAAATCTAGCGTTGACGAAAAACCAAAGGGATTTTTAATTATTTTACATCTCTATTTAATCTTTTACCTGTCTGTTTATTTGTTTCTAGTAAACATCAAAATGGCTGAACCAATCAGGCCCAATTTTCTGAAAAACATTGCAATTCTCGAGTGCATAAAGATTAATTAGATATTAAATAAATATTGCATAAACCGTATTAAGATGATAATTAAGATAATTTCAAGGTTTTAAGATCAAGATCTAACAGCAGAGACCGGAAAAGACGACAAAAGGAGAGCAATAATCAAACCCCGGACCATTCACGTTCTAGCTCACGTCGACAGAGCATAGACGCCGGGATTAAGAATGATGTTAGAGACGAACGACGAAGCAGAACGAAAGAATTCAAAAGAGAAAAATCAAGAACTAGAACAAGAAGTAGAACAAGAAGTAGGGAGAGGAAAAAGAAAGAGAAGAAACGGAAAGCAAGTCGAAGTAGATCAAGAGAAAGGAAAAAGAAGAAACGGAAGTATAGTGACAACGAAGAATCCCGGAAAAAGATTAAACGGATTAGCGAGGAGAGAGATGAAGAAGAAAAGAAGTCTAAAAGTATGGAGAAAGATCTATCAGAATCTCCACGGTCTAGTCACACTAAGAAGAAGAAGAAAAAGAAGAAGAATAAAGGTATTGTTCAATCATACTCTGACCATTCAGACCCTGACACTGATCACTCGAACCTATCCACTAGCGCCGTGAAGACTGAGACGGATCGAAAGTACCTGGAGTCGGACGAGGATGAGGAGAAGGTTATTGAGAATATTCGAAGGAAGAGAGCTAAGCTGCTGGCCCATCTACCCGAGGAGGTGGAGATGAGAGCTCCCAGAGAGGATCTAGTTGGGGCTCAGGTTACCAAGGACAGCAGGGGAGCCAGGGAGAATACGGTTCCTATAACATGCTTTCAACAGGTTAGGATAATTTATTCACTTATTATTCAAATTTAATATGTTTAGCGGCTCTAATTATAGAAACTGGATTAAATATGTTTAGCGGCTCTAATTATAGAAACTGGATTAAATATGTTCAGCGGCTCTAATAATAGAAACTGGATGAAATATGTTTAGCGGCTCTAATAACAGAAACTGGATTAAATATGTTTAGCCGTTAATAATAAAAACTGGATCAAATAGTGTTTACTGTTTATGCTTGATAGCTCTAAATTTCAACGTATCTAAGTTTCCTGTACATAAAACTTAAATAAACTCTGTGGAACTGAGACTGCAGAAATTACAAAACACGTTGTATGTACACACAAAATGTTGTGGATTTTATGTACATATTACTAAATATTAAGGATCCCGATGGTCTGAAAGAGGTTAAACAGTACAAAACTGTACTGCTGACAGGATCCACAGTACAGGACGGACAGTACAGTCAGATCTTTCAGTTGTCAGCAGCACTGCTCAACCAACCAAACAAAAGGTTTTCACTTAATTAAAAAAAATATCAATTATTGCATTCTGCCATTTGCATTGCTTTGTGATTCATTTGAAGGTGGATCTCCAGTGAAACTTTTCGTATTTATGAGTTCCCAATTTTCTTAATATTTTATATTTTGCGGCGCAGGATCTGCGGACGTTGTAACAATTCTAATTTGAGGTTGAAACAAGTGTGAGATAATTCTTGAACTCGACAATCCACAGTTGAAAAACGATTAAATTTTACCACAGTTGAAAAACGATTAAATTTTAAATCCGTAACAACAACAAACGAATTTTTGACTTCATTTTTGGCCAATTTCTTAGACGTTCTACCATAGGTAGAACAATAGTCACATGATGGCTACGCTTTACCAGAGCAGTGTAGATAGATAGATACGACCTATAGTTGTACCTATGATAAAATTAATAAAGAAATTGTCCATTTATACTAAATTGTCCATTTATACTAAATTGTCCATTTATACTAAAGACAATTGGTAAAATAATCGTTTTTATAACGCCACTAATCAAATTGCCGTTTTGGGAAATGTTGATCCTTAAATTTTCATTTAAGAAAATGGCACTTGGGAGCTTTTCCATTTATTTTAAATAGCTAAATTTAAAAAAAATGGGATCTTTAAGAAAAAGAGGAAATAAGAAACCTTAAAAATAGGAAAGTTTAACCCTAGGGATACATATTAAGGGAAAAGAGACAATCCCCATGGAAAAGATGCATAATGATTAAAAAAAGAGAACTTACAGTTAATGAGTTTAGATAACAGTCCATTCGCCTTAAAACATAAATTATCCTTTCACTTATCCTTTAACAAGAGAGAAGTTTTTAAAATTTTCATTGCTTTCTACAAAAAAGGAATATGGTTTGTTAACTGCTTACTATGATGAGTTTTAAAGATTTTTTATTTATTTCTCAAAACTGTAATGTGGTGTGTGCACCGTGTACTTTGTGTTGAGTTTAAAGATTATTATTTCTTTCTCAAAAATGTAATATGGTGTGTGCAGTGTGCAGCGTGCAGTGTGCACCGTGTACTTATGTCGAGTTTTAAGATTTTTATTTCTTTCTCCAAAAAAAGTAATATGGTTTGTGAACTGTGTACTGTGATGAGTTTAAAGATTTTTTTCTTTCCCGAAATTGTAATATGGTTTGTGAAATGTGTACTGTGATAAGTTTTAAGATTTTTATTTCTCACAAATGTAATATGGTTTGTGCACTATTCAGAGCCTAGAAGATCCTGTAGTTATTTTTCTTCACTACAAGGATGCTCTTCTTCCTACCCTGCTTGCCAAGCTCAACAAATTCAAAATATTCGGTAACTCCAAATTTTTTTATTTACAAGGTAAACAACATTGAAATGTATGAATATTTACAAAAATATTGAATAAGCATGGATGATTAATATTTTATCAAACATGGAAAATCTACAGAAATTCATTCATCGAAACACGGAATATTACAAATAATTTTTTTAACCCATATAAAATTATTTATCTCCAAGATTTTGTTTTTCGTATAAGATAATAAGAAAAACTCACGTGTGTGAAACACAATAAAATAATTGGCATAAGAAAGTATAAAAACGTCCTTAGACTTTTAATTTATGAGATTTATTTATTGTTTAAATTTTTTTGTAAATGCACACAATTTATTACAACTTTAACGATATGTTTGTCAATAATATTTAAATATACGTCAATTTTGTCTGAAAAATTTCTTAAATTGTTTGCAGTAAAACCTTTGAACAGATTTAGAAGATTATTTTCTCAAGTTCTTATTTTTGGTTTAGATCATTTCTCTGATCTTGTATTATACTGCTGTGATATGGTTGGATTAGCCTGGAGTCTTCACCTAGACAATCTTTGGACAGGAAAACATTATCCTAGCCTTGGGTTAGTATACAAACAGAGCTGGCAACTTTTGAAAGAGGAAAAACCTAATCCCTTCCTCTGTACGGAGAGTATAACTGCAACCCTACCTATTAAACCCATTCTCTATTGGTCAATAAATTGCACCGATTGTGATGCAAAACCTGATTGCACATTACACTCTTGTAAAAAGATTGAGGTAATGTAGTAGAGTAACTCCTTTTATTCAAAAGTTTCCGGCTCAAAAAATTGTCAAAAAGAGATAATTTTCATAGAAAACGCAAAGTTGTAGCAGCAAAGACTACTGAGTCGTTGACATTGATACACTCATACAGCTATGTCTTCATAAAAACTAGACTTAGAAATACTTATTTAAATCATGGAATTATCTATTAAACATCATAGGATAATAAACAAATGAACAGGGTTATCCACCAAAACTGAGTCTAAAGTCGACTTAAAACTGTTCACATATGACATTTCAAGTCTAAATTAAGTTAAACCTCTGAATGTGGCCTTTAATGGATTATTTAATGATTTGGGAAAGAAATAAAGAAAGAAGGTTATAATTTCAGGGAATCATGAATATATGGAAACGGATTGAATTTACTATGTACTAACTACTGATACGACTAAAAAGTCCAATGATATGTTTTCAATCACTATTAATTATTTTATTTAAATTGTTCAGAACAATTGTTGGAAGTTTAGAGGATAGTCCTCCTCTGCCCTCCGTTTCGTCCAGCGGGGCTACAGAACTATTAGGAACAGTTTAAAAAAAATTTAAAGTCATAAAAATGTTGGACAATATTTGTTTGCCCATGTAAAATCCAATTTCTGGACCCAGTTTTATCCTTCCTTAGATAATTATAAAAAAATGTTTTAACATGTTTTACCTAAAATTCGATGTAAGAATCGGATAATTTTAAGCCCGATTATCTTTAAAAATGTAAGAATCGAATAACTGTTTATTGAAAGCTCTTCTTTTTCTTAACTGTTTTGTCCATATAGAGAGTGTACTGAGTAAATTGATGCAAACCAATCACCTCAACATGACCAAGGTCCTGGAGATGTCCAACAAGATGAGCCTTGTGGAGTATATGTCCGTCAAGTACAGTATGATCCAGGGCGTGAAGGTTGATCAGGGTTCAAGTTTGCCAGACTACCTGGAGATATCTCAGAGTCATGATGCGTGGGGGACCCGGAGTAGAGTAGATCTAGTCTGGACCTCGCTAGAGAGTCTCTCTAAGGTTAGTTTAATACTTTGAAATCGACCTAAGGGTTACTCCCTTGAATAAGATTGATTAAACTTTAATTTATTATTTAAATCCAGAACTTCCGAACAATTCTCACAAAATATTAACTTTTTCTTCTCAAAATTTGTTTTCAAGACTCTGCAAGTCGGTTTTGTTGCAGTAAACACTGAGAAGTAAGAACTTATGTATATTTAAAATACAAAAGTTTTGACCTTTGTTTAGAAGTTGAAAGGAGAGAAGAAATCTAATCTCCTTCTCCCTGAGAAAAGATCTACTCCGCTACCTATCCCGGAGCCTGAAGCGCTAGATGGGGAGGATCAGGTTAAAAATCATAAAAGATTTTTAGATTTTAAAAATGAAACTAGAACAATTGTTAATATATTTATATTTATATATTTAGTGTTGGTCAAATTTTTCAATTCGTCAGATTTAATTTGTTTTCCCCGGTATTTAACGTTTTTTTCCCGGTATTTAAAGTTTTTTCCCGGTTTAAATGACAGCTTTTATCCACATTTTGCATATTTAATAAGAACAAAATTGTAAAAAAATACAATTTTAGGTAAGTCCTGATTATTGTGAAGCTTCTTTTATAAAAAGACTAAGGTTAAAAAGTTTAGTTATTTAAAATTTGTAGGTAAAGATATTGAAACCTCCGGCCCCAGCCATCTTCAGCTCTAACCTAGGACCTCTAGCCAACCTCAAGCTTAAAGCTAAACAATTCAAAGGAAACCATTACTTTTTTATATTAATTTTGGTCATTTTTAGTATCATATCCCGCTTAAACCAGTAGTTTTTATATTAATTTTGGTCATTTATCTGCATAGTATCATATCCCGCTTAAACCATTAGTTTTTTATATTAATTTTGGTCATTTATCTGCATAGTTTTATCTCCCGCTTAAACCATTAGTTTTTATATTAATTTTGGTCATTTATCTGCATAGTATCATATCCCGCTTAAACCAGTAGTTTTTATATTAATTTTGGTCATTTATCTGCATAGGTTTGTGATAGTAGTCCCATTATCTAATAAATTTTCCCCCAATTAAAATTTTATTTTTGCTTAGGTTTTAATCAGAAAGGTGTAAGTAGTGATGTGCTTTTGTTTATATTTTCTGTTAGGCTCAAAATATGTAACAAAGGAAAATTTAGTTTAAATTGTGCATTCTAAATATAAATTTTATGTTTAATGTTAAATGTTAAATGTTAGCCCTGGCCGAAGTTATATGCAAAAAAGACCCAAAAACGATGCAAAAACGTACCAAAAACGTCCCAAAAACGTCTCAAAAACGTCCTAAAAAACCTCCCAAAAACGTCCTAAAAACGTCCCAAAAACCATGCTAAAACGGTCGTGTCGTAACGATCATTTTCGGATAGTTTTTGGAATTTTTTTACTTTGAATATATTGCTAAGTTTTATAAAATCAAAGGTTAACATAATACAGTTTTAAAATCTTTGGAAGTTTTATAAAAAAAAATCTTTTACTATGACTGTACCGGAGACCTTTACTGTTTAGTGAAAACTCTTCTATACAACCATTAGACCTGACTCTACAGAACTTATTAAGTCGTAAAATGCATTTAAAACATGTTTTGGAAGAAAATAGTGGATGCGCCTAGGACAAAAAATTACGCAAAAGTTTTTTCTTCTGGTTTCGTAAATCGAGATATTGAATTTTACGGCTATTTTATGAGATTTGCCATTGTCAACAATATTAATCCATGATATTATCTTTGATGCAATCAAAATATTTAGTATTAACCCTCAAATTCAATACACCCACAGTGGATATCAAAATCAATAGTCGGAATCATTCGAGCATTCGATACAAAAGTTTCCAGCTCTGACTATTTACATGTTCAAATAATAGATGAAAGAACAAATATTAGGAATCACAAGTTATAAGAACGAAAATTGCTGTATAAAATGATTTTGATCATGTCAGGGGAAACCCAAATACATTAATGCAGAAAACGCCTTAAGAAATGTTGCTCCAGCGCATTGAAGAAAACCTAGTCCAACTAAACATTTGCTGCAATGGATAAAAATGAGTGCAAAATGTAAGAAAAAGTTGCGACAGATATTAATGTATACAACTTTAATATCTTGTGCCAAAAAATCCCAAATATCTTTTTTTTAAGATAATTCCCAATAAATCAGAGACATGATGTTCTATATATTTTCCATTTTGGAAAAGGAATCTACAAACATTGGAAAAGAAATCTACAAACAAATATTAGCGTCTTTTATTTTTTCTAAATTGTTTGTTATTAATTTGAACAGTAAAAATATTAAGAATTTCTGATCTTATTATGAATAGATAAAAAAATATAGGGGTAGCTTTTCTCTCATCACATGTACAGGGGAGCCACAGCACACTTGTCATCACACTTGTTTTTTGATAGAGGGATTTTCTATTTTTGATATTTCAAGTCCTTTAACTTAAAAATCACTGATTGGGTTCCCTTTTATTTCTATCAAATACTAAAAAAAAACCTCCGTTCAGCTTCGTGACACCCCCTGCATTATCACCCCCTAATGTTTTCTTTGAACAAAATGACAGAAATTCATGTAGCGTTAAAAATAGAAAGTGAAAACCTTGTTCTGAGACTATTTGTCGGGGTTTTCCTTTTTTATTTGTGAATAGTCTTAAAGGGGAAAGCTGACGAATGATCTGATGAGGACACACCAATGAAGACGCAAAACAGCGTGACATATATAAATAGATTATTAAAATTTGAAGGGAATAGTTGTGCCCTGGTAGAACTCCGTGTCCCCGCTTTACAGCTGAGAATACATCAACTTCGTGGTAAACTTGTTCAAGTAGAAGGTCAGTGACCCCCCCAGCGGGAATAGGGTTAAGTTTTTGTGTCCTAACATAGGTCAAATCGACAAAAGGAAATTTCAATTGAATTTTAAAAATTATTTAAAAGTTTATATAAAAAACAAATCGTAATGTTGCTCAATTTAAACCAAGAAGTTGTTTAGAAATCCTAGTTATCACCCAGTCAACTTGAGTTCTGAAAACATCACGTATCCGGTGGCAACCTTGAGACTGGAGGAGTCTTGAGGGGAAAGGGAAGACGGAGTAGGAGACTTTGAGGAGAAGGAGGAGGAAAACTTAAGGAGAAGGATAGATGATTAAGATAAAGGAGATAAAGGAAGAGATGAAAGAGGATGAGGAGATGAAGATTGAAGAAGGAGAAGAAGGCGGAGATGGAGGAGAAGGATGCGAAGGAGGAGGAGAAGAAGACGGATGAGGAAATGGAGAAGGAGGAGAAAGAAGAGAAGGAGAAATAGGAGAAGGAGGAGTGGGTATTGAGAAAGTCGTAAAAAAGCTAAAATATTGTCGGCACACTTGGTGCATTGCTTTGGTGTAAGTCTTAATCCTCTCCCTAAACAAGTTTTTTTTATTAATTTCTTTTTGAAAGAATGGTAGTTCTTAGGCACTCCACGTGAAAATACAAACTGAAAGAAATTTCTTTAATTTTCAGAAAAAATGGAGGAAACAGAGGATCCTGGAGTCAAGTTTAATGATGCAAGGTAAAAAATGATCATTGTAAGCGTAATTTCTAGTGAGAATGCAAAGATGACAATGCCAGATTTACAACTGTACCCTTAATAGCTTTCTCGGATCAAGCATAAATTAGATATCCATGTTATAGTTTATTTTCATTTGCGAATTTCTTCTATGTATAAATTTGGCTTGTCTGTTTGTCTGTCTGTCTGTTTGTATCCAATAAACGTTTTGTGGGACATCTAGGGACCCCAGGGAAGGTTTATGAATGATTGAAATTTTAAAAATTTGTGTTTTAGAGGTTTTTAATTTTGTAAAAAAATTTTAATTTTTGAAAATCCGCGAATTTTTTTTTTTAAATCCGCAAAACTTTTTTCATCTTTGTTTTGAAATGTAAACAAAAAGAACATGTTCACAATTTAAAAGCCTAGAAAGAAGGGCGCGAAGCGCCTTCAATTTATAGTATTTTTAAATAGCAATAGAGAAGTTATCAGAATTGAAATACTCATTAATTATAAAAAATGACTGTTTCTACGTTTTTGATCTGAATGAAGTTTAAAGGGTACCGGCATAATTGAGCATTGTCATCGATGCAGAGAGGACTTGAAAATACACTCACAGTCCCATTAAGAACATTTCTCTTCAGTTTAAGTGACCGTACATCTGGTTAGCGTAACGTTTCTTACATTGACGAGAATTAACGTTGATAATCTATACATTTTGACGGATAGCCTGGATGGATTCCAGACTGCAGACTGCATGTTGATGCTCTGCACCCTGAGGGCGGTCGGGGGGTTCCATGTCGGGTTCCTTTTCAGATCTTATAATTATTATTATTATTATGATTACATTTTGATATTAAATTATGCGATATAAGAAGAAAGCCTAAAAATCGAAATAATATTGATAAAGAACGCCAAAATATTTTGATTTTTACCGAGTTTTCCGAAAATGTCAAATGCTTTTATTTTAAACGATAGTTCAATGTAATTTTCTTCTAAAGGGTCTAATTACACGAAAAACGATTAAAGCATATTTGTAAAGCAGTTAGGGAAAAAGGATATTGACCATCATATTCTCGCTTTAAATCCCAGCTTTGCCTGGAGGAGAAGCCAGGCTAAAAACCTTCCCGTGGTTCTAAAGTCAACCCTGAGGGCGGTCTGGGGGTTCCATGTCGGGTTCCTTTTCAGATCTTATAATTATTTATTTATTTAAATCGATCCAGGGTTTTATGAGTATAAACATAGATATTTACTTTATACAGTTTGAAATTGGAATCTTAAACCTCAACCTTTAAAGGAACATGGTTTGGTTTTGGAACCTTATTTCAATTTTGTTTCTTTTTCATATTAATTCGTTATTTTTGTGCTAAAACTTGATGAACCATTCAGAGATTAAGAAATATTTGAAAATGTCTCTTTTTAAATGTTCCAGATTTGGATTTTAAGAGCAAAAGATCTTTGTTTGCAGTTTTTGGTTGATATTTTGCTCCTTGGATCTGGACCCGGATCCAGAAAGCCAAAATGTTGCATATCCAACGGATCCGGATCCTAACCACTGATTAAAACATTTATAAATGAGTCCAAGAAATTGTAAATGATATTACTACTACTGCAGGTTGAGCGTCAAGATGACTGTAGACGGTGTGAACAAGTTTATTTACACTGTTACAGAGGAAGGTTCTATGTTACATATAAGGTAGGCCTGCTATTGAAAAAGCATAAAATCCCCCAAGCCCCCTCATCCTAAATCGAGGTTTGTAAAATGTTAATGATTTTTAATTAGTCAAAAAAAAGGATTGAGGGATGGTAATTTTGGTAGATTCGATTGGAGGAAATAAGAAAAAAAAATGTATTGTAAATGTTTATGACAATTATATTTCACACCAAAATAACATTCATATTTCCCATTTTTGCAATATACTATAAAAAAAAACTTTGATTGGATGGAATACTTGTTTGAATCTATAAACTGATAAAATTTCATAAAAGATTGGTTTAAGACTCCATTCTCCAGGGATAACATGGGCCGGGGCATTTTCCAAGAATACGTTACGTTGGATTTTGAAAAGGATCTGGGGTATATATAAATCTAAGAAATAACCCCCCCTCCCCCGGGTTATGATTTTTGATCATGTGGGGGGGGGGGGAATGAAAAATTGGACATAATTTAACCTGTTTTTTCATCCATTTTAATGCTTATAAAAGGGGAAGTGGCTGGAGCTCGACCCTAGAGCTCGGAGAATCATTGTCCTTGAGGATCATGATTCTTTGACTATAGGTTGAATGTTAATAATAATAATAAATACCAAAATAACCCCCCCCCCAAAAAAAAAAAAAAAAAATAGTTAATTATATTCTTTCCAATTTAGCGAATAAAATTCAAACTCAGTGCAAACATACGGAATTTCTGGGGAGGGGGGAAATTCCAAATGATTAGACCCTGTTAAGAATCGGAATATACTTCAACAATGTTTTAGATGTTGTTTATGTGAAATAACCGTGACAGGAAAGAATAATCTAAACCTTCATGAGTTTGGCAAAAAACATCTTGGCAACATTCAACGGATTCAGGTCAGATCACAAAGCAAACCATATGGGGACTTCCCTTCATTCATATTTAACATAATGATGATCCTTCATGAATGAATGGGTGCCAAAAATGGTTGCATGGCTCAAATTTGGTCGTGTTGCAGGGATTTCGTCACCAAATATTGGAATTTAACCTTTAACTAGGTACATTGCAAAAGTCAGAATTGAGTTCATATCCGGGCTGAAAAACCATTTCTCATTCAGGAATTGAAACTCCAGGTTGAGAAATGGAGCCTAAAGCTTCCTCAACATTCATGATTTGATTTGATTTGGTTTGATAATGTTGAAGATATTTATTATCTTGTAAAGTGTTTATTTCTGAAATTACTTTAAATATAAATAGTAACAGAAATGCTTGGAAAGGGATTTAAGAATTTCAAAAAAAAATCTCAGTGAAACCTAGTTAGTAACTTTTTTAGGCCAAAAAACTCTCAATTGTACAATCCAAATCCTAAAATTTTCTCCGCAATGGTGGCTTTGTCCCCCCTGCATCCCCCCTCTCTATCGCAGGAAACTGCCCCACCCTGTTAAAAAAGTGTTTTTGGTTGAGTCTTCAAAGGGGAAAATGGTTCGAAAAAAAGGGAAGGGGGCAATAACATAAATATCTGCCCAAGAACTAGTTTCTTTGTAAACAAGTCAATGTTTATCAACATTAACAATCTTTGGCGTAAAATACTTTTGAAATAATACATTGAAACAATGATATACAAATATTAAATACAATTCATTGTTTAGATTAAAACTGAATCTGTCCTTAACAGTACAGCACCGGCCCCAGTAACACAGAAAAGTACGGCTGGGAACGACAGAGGTATTGAGACTAATAATTCTACAGGGTGTCCCAATAAACATGGGAAATTAATGACGAAATGTTAAATTGCAAGAACAATGATAAAATGGTTTAAATAATTGATAAAATTTTAAATATCTGAAAACAACTTTGGAAGACTTTTTAAAATAAAAAAGACGAGGAGATAAGTTTAGTTTTAAGTAAAAGCTAATTACTTTATAGATTTATGATTGAATTATGAATGTCTCACAGATCAAAAATTCGTCTTATTTTTTTATAAAACCCTTTTGTGTAAATGTAATAATACATTTTTTAGAGGCCGAGGGTGTTGGGTTACTCGTTTTTTCTAAGACCACTCACAGGACAAATGAGGCCCTTTGTTATAAATTAAAAAATGTTAAAAAGTGCGGTTGGGGAAATGAACGAGTTTAGAATAAGAAGTACAACAAGTTTAAACTTGTTGTGTTCTTGATAATCTGATAGAGTTTAATCTAGTTCTATTCTAGATAATCTGATCAGTGCCTTAGAGTTTAATCTAGTTCTCTTTAGATAATTTGATCAGTGCTCTAGAGTTTAATCTAGTTCTATTCTAGAGTTTAATCTAGTTCAATTCTAGATAATTTGATCAGTACTCTAGAGTTTAATCATGTTCTTTCTATTCTAGATAATCTGATCAGTACTCGAGAGTTCAATCTAGTTCTATTCTAGATAATTTGATCAGTACTCTAGAGTTTAATCTAGTTCAATTCTAGATAATTTGATCAGGACTCTAGAGTTTAATCTAGTTCTATCCTAGATAATTTGATTAGTACTCTAGAGTTTAATCTAGTTCAATTCTAGATAATTTGATCAGTACTCGAGAGTTCAATCTAGTTCTATTCTAGATAATTTGTTCAGTACTCTAGAGTTTAATCTAGTTCTATTCTAGATAATCTGATCAGTACTCTAGAGTTAAATCTAGTTCTATTCTAGATAATCTGATCAGTACTCTAGAGTTTAATCTAGTTCTATTCTAGATAATTTGATCAGTACTTCATAGTTTAATCTAGCTCTGTTCTAGATAATTTTGATCAGTACTGTATAGTTTAATCTAGTTCTATTCTAGATAATTTGATCAGTACTGTAGAGTTTAATCTAGTTCTATTCTATAGATAATTTGATCAGTACCCTGGAGTTCAATCTAGTTCTGTTCTAGATAATTTGATCAGTACTGTAGAGTTTAATCTAGTTCTATTCTAGATAATCTCATCAATACTCTAGAGTTTAATCTTGTTCTATTCTAGATAATCTGATCAAAACTCTAGAGTTTAATCTTGTACTATTCTAGATAATCTGATCAGTACTCTAGAGTTTAATCTAGTTCTATTCTAGATAATCTGATCAGTACCCTTGAGCTGGATAAGAATCTAGTTGGATTTAGAAAGGATAGCTTAACACAGCAGCTGCTTGATACTATTAAAAAAGAAACCCCGGTAAAAACGACATTACTTTATACATAAATAAGCCTGGTAGTTTTGTATTGAATAAAATTGTGATAATGTTAGTTATTTTGCTTGGGTACATAAAAATTCTGAAATCAAATTTTTCTCCGCTATTTTTTCCTGATCTACTTTTCACTTCAAGTGGGAAATTAAGTTGCAATGTTTTGCTAAATTCAGATATTCCTCTGTAGATCTAATTTCATGGGACCCTCCACTTTTAGAGTAACATGTTCGATTCACAATAGTACTATTAAATGCTTTGTCAGATGAGAATGAATAAGATAACCATTTCTTTCTGTGGTCAGTTAAAGGTTTAAAGGTCAGCGTTGTGAATTGCTGGTCTCTTTAATAAACTCAAAATATGAAAATAATTTACTTAATTTTAAAATTTAGATAATTGGTGTCGAGTATCTTGTCGAGGTTCAGGAGATAGGAAGTAAACTTGAACCTAAGATTAACTGTTTATTATGTGAGAAGGTGAGTTCTAATATTTTCTAAACAGAGGTGGACATTTTTGTAGAGGATAGCACTTAGCTTTAGTCACTTAATATCTCGATATCCATTGCACACACTTTTAAATTGAGGTCCAATGCCAGGCGGTGAAAGTTGTTTTTTCTTGGCAATAATGTAGTCGACTTCTAAGATGAACAGTAGAGCGCGGAAGTCAGTGGTCCAAAAGTTTTTCCCCCGGAAAGTCAGTTATTACTAGTGGCCACGGCCCTCTAAATAAACATTTATTGTGATACTAACGTTTTAGCATTAGAAATCGATACTTTCTGTCAAAATATTTGTAGCATTTTTGTTTGAAAGCTCTGGTTTGCTGACAGAGGTCGTGGATTTTGGTATATTTTTCCGTTCATTCTCATCACCTTTTGGCAATTTTATTTCTAATTTTTTTAAATGTGTTTTTTGAAATATGTGAAGGATTGGGCAGTTAAATAACCTCTGAAGTCCCATTAATTACAAAAATGGTTTTCAACTTGTTAATTGTTTTCTAGACTCTGAACCTGAAAAGTGAAGTGAAGAGTCATCTTTTATCTCCTTCTCATCGGCTCCGATACCTAGAATCATTCTTTCCGACGGTTCGGAGAAAATTCGCTAAAGTTCCGAACATCAAGTATTGGCAATCTCCAGCATACGATTTCCTGGAGTCGGTAGCGCTGCGGATAGAAACCAAGTTTGGTCGGGAGAAGATTGTAACGGTTCAAGGGATGGAATACTTCACCCAGAACCTTCCAGCCTTGCAAGCTCTTGCAGAGCTCTCCAGACACTTTACGGAGGATGATACTCTTAACTTTAAAACCATCCCTGATCCGTTCGGTTCCTTTATTAAAGAAATACCGGCTCAGGAAATTGTAAATATAAATGTTCTGGAAGAACCCTGCCAGAAACCAGGGATAACCTTGGCCGGGAAGTATCTGGGTCTAGTTAGAACTGTAAGTATAATCCCTCCTGGATCCAAGGAGAAAGAGAAGGACGAAGTTCTCCAGAGGATTTCATCTCTCCGCGCTAAACTGATGTCCGATGACGAGCAGTATAAGACGATCACAAAGTACAGGAAGAGGATCGAGAAGGAAGGTGATAAGGAAGAGGTGGAGGATGATACCCAGTACTTCAGAAAGTATAATCCTAAGCGTCAGCGACAAATTTTTAACGGATTTAAAGAAAATCAAGGAAACAGAAATCAAAACCAAAATATGAACAGGTAACTTTTCATATATTTCTAGGATTTAAGAGCGGCTTAAAATTATCTTATTGTTTTCAGGTCCGGATCAAGGGGTCGGAGTGTCAAGTCCCGATCAAGATCAAGAGATCGGGGACCCAAGTCCCGGTCAAGATCTATATCCCCATATGTCATCGCTATGCAGAGTTGGAATAAGTTCAAACAAATGGAGTCTGCTATGTTGAAGAATGTGAAGACCAAGAAAGAGGTTTTCCAGAAGCGTCCTGAGGATCATCCGAGCTACGGAGAGGAATGGAAACTATTCTGGAAACAGAAGTATAACGAGCTTGTGATAATGGGGCGGGATCCTAACACACATGACTACAAGTCAGATTGGATTCCATACTGGGAAAAGAAACTGGCAGATTTGTTCGATCAAGAGGTTCTCAATAAAACCGACGATCTCATGAAAAAGTTCAATCTACCTTCTGTGAATGAGCCCAAGAGAGAGGATTACGAAAGAGCTAAAAGCCCCCCGCGCCGCCGACGTTCACCGTCACTTAAACGTCGGCATTCGCCACTTCCCAAGCGAAGACATTCCCCGAGTATGGAAAGGTACAGACGATCGTCGCCGAGCCCAGGAAAGAGAAGGAAACGTTCAAGGAGTCCTCGAGGACGGTCAAGAACTCGGAGTCCCGTCCGAGGTCATAGAAACCATAGTGGAGATGGAAATCCGAGGACAAGAAACCCTTCTCCTCCACATCCTCGAGGCCATTTTGGGGACAGGGGTCGTACTGGGCCAAGCAGGCTGGCAAGCCAACGATCCGATCTATATTCAGGTTTAGTTTTTGTTTTCTTGTTTCAATGGGGGGCTTTTATTTCGTTGCTTAGTTAATTAATCAATAATTAATTATTCAATGTTTAAAAAACTCCCCGGAATATCTGTTGTGTATTAGAATATTAATATATGATGCAGGAATTACAGAGTTGGAGGATCGTCGGGATCGTGGCCGATCCATCTCTCCACTGGGACTAGGTAATTAACTTCTGTGCTATATGACACTGAAACCAAGTAAATTGTATATGTTTTACCAATATCTGTGCTTGTATATATTTGAGAAAAAAAAAGATTTATCAAAAAAGTTTTTTCTCAAAGATATGCTCGAAGTGCAACTTTTTAAAAGGTTTTCATCACCCAATTATATTTTTTGAAATAAGAAAGTTTTGGTGAGAAATGTCTTTTGAGTAATTTGGGCCAGTTGTTTTGCCTTTTACCGCTGTTGAATTCCACGATGCTCTTTCTAGAAAATCCGCTGCCCTCAAATTATCCATTTTGTATTTTGATGAAATCATAAAGGAAGTTTTCTCGATTAAAATCTCGTTGACGTTCATTGAAAAATAATGCATTCATTGTTCTTATTATTTTTAGATTACTTGCTTTTAATGATTTTTTGTTAACTTTTTAAAATTTAGGAGCTGATGCTTTGAGCCGAAGCCATGAGTTCCACAGATCAGACATGTCCGGAGAAATCGAGGTTATCTCTGTCCTCCGTATTCTTACAGCACTAGAGGATTCCTTAGGTAGTCTCGGACCTCATGTTAACAAGATCCTCGCTAGAAGTTTAGCTTTAGAACAGGAATATTATTCATGCTTTAGATCATTTTAGGTACTTTTGAAATAGAGTGTTAGTGACTATCCTAAAGTTTCTCTGCCAGAGTCTTTTGATCCTAAACTTACTAGTTTCTTAATTCAAAATAGAGCTAGGATGTATATGTATAGTATTCACCCGTCTACAAGCCGATGATGAATTTTAATTCTAAGGCTGACTACGAATGTAGATTTATAATCAATTAAGAATTTAATAAATTAAAAGATAAAACGAAAAATCGGTTTTGTTAAGTAACAATGAGAAAACAGATCAACAATACAGTGAGATATCCTGGTTTTCATATATGAAAATTGATAATTTTGAATTGAGGGTTTTCTTTTTAAGTACTTGTGGATTTATGTAATCCACAGTCAGATATAAAGAAGGAATTGAACAGAATGCAGAAAAACGGAAAAACGACGATATCATCTTCATTGATTCTTAGATGGAGGTGGAAAGTTTATTGTTTATCAACCTACAGTCAAAGTATCATGTCTTATAGTCATTGTTACGTTGATCTACAGGGTCGAGCTTAAACCAACTTACCCGTGTCCGCTTTGGTTAATGGATCCTTTCGGGTTTGATTTTTTAGGACTCAGTGTGTATGCCAGATATGCAAGAAGGCCTAAAAATTCTTTAAATGGCATTTTAGAACAGTACACACGTCTGTTTGAGAGTAATTAAAGTGTTTCACAATCATAAATGACTCTTAAATTGAAATTAATTTTCAGTCCCTTTAAGTATTGTCCCTTTGTATTATTTATTGTCTAACTGTTAATCAATAATCTCAGATGAAATGGAATTTCTCTTTTAAATCTGCTTCTAGTTTACTGAATAATAATATGGTGCAGAAGCGAGATGGAGCTAGCAAAGTAATCCTGGAGGATCCAGACAGTGTTTCTATCTTGGACATGGTCAAGGAGAAGCTCCACGGTCAGATGATGGCCGGCCTGCTCTCCGGGTCCAGGGAGGGGGCTGTCAGGGTATCCTTGGATAATTTGACCCGTTTGCTCCAAGGAGCAACTAAGAAGAGATCTGTCAACCCAAACCTTCTCCTTGGCTCAGGATCAGACTCGGAGTCTAAAGGAACACAACGCAACCTTAACATGTGAAACCTTTACCACGTTTTCTGGAATTTTTTCTTAAAAATCTCTATGAGTTAGAAGTCATCCATAATGAATTTTTTCGGTTTTTTATTTTTCGTTTCTTTCATGATAAGTAAGTGCATTGCATTGCTCCAAACTTTAAAGCCTGTTAAAATGGTTTAAAAATGAAATTTGTTTATAAAGTAAAAAATAAAAAAAATTCAAATTTTATCAAAAATTCTTTTTTTCCATTCTCTTACTAAATTGCCCAATTTCGACCATTTAAATTTTTTATGAGTTAACATATTGAATTGTGTTTTAGGACCGCTTGGAAGTACAAAATCAGTTAACTTCCTGATAGCACAGTCCATATCCACTGTGCTGGTTTGTACGGGGAGGATGGAGGTCGCGGGGCCAGAGCTAGAGAAATTGGTAGATTTATTGATGCAAGACCTCTCCGTCTCCGACACAGTCTCCGAGGTCGGAAGGGTTGCTAGGGAGTATATGGAGGCTGTGGCCTTGGAGAAGAAGCTGATTCAAGAGGAAAACATTCTTTATTTTTATTATTTTTTTTTGTTTATTTCATATATTTTTCCTTTTTTCATATCAAATATAAAAGACAAGATTTAGAGCACACCCCCCCTTCTCATACAAATGCAAATTCCTCAATCCTCATCACTCTTTTTTGTATTCAAACTAATGAATGTTTCTGGTTTAGGAAGCTGAGCGTAGAAAAGCTCCTCCTGAGATATATAATCGTCCCGTACCCCTTCCCTCTTGTCAATCAAACTTCTACGACGATAGTAACGTGCGAAGAGACGATATGGTTGGGTCAGGTCCGGCGTATGTGACACCAATCTACTCGGGGCCTGGCATGGCACAAAACGACCACGCGGACGAATTTGATGATTTTACTTCGGACGAATTAAAGTCTTTGTTAGAAAACTTTGAATCCTTGTCTAAACAGGAGCAAGAGGATTTGATTCAGTATATGAAAAAGTTGGAACGAAATAAACCTGAAATGGTGAAAGAATTGTTACCTATGCTTAACAGAATTCAAAATTCTTCCATGGAAGTAAGTTATTTTCTTGCAGGTACTTTTGATACCTTCACCTTATTTGGTGGCTGTTATAATGTTGATTTGTGCAGAAATTAAGTCAGAAATACTAAATACTAAGTTTTGATACCTTCAGCTAATTTGGTGGCTAATATAATGTTGATTTGTGCAGAAATTAAGTCAGAAATACTAAATACTAAATTTTAATACCTTCACCTAATTTGGTGGCGTCATAACTTGATTTGTGCAGAAAATAAGTCAGAAATATTAAGTTTTGATACCTTCACCTAATTTGGTGGCTGTTATAATGTTGATTTGTGCAGAAATTAAGTCAGATATACTAAATACTAAATTTTGATACCTTCAGCTAATTTGGTGGCTGATATAATGTTGATTTAGACAGAAATCAAGTCAGAAATACTAAATATTAAGTTTTGATACCTTCACCTAATTTGGTGGCAGATATAATGTTGATTTAGACGGAAATCAAGTCAGAAATACTAAGTTTTGATCGACTGAAAGAAACTGACGAAGTAATTTAAAGTGATCATCCATTTGGAAGATTTGCATGTTGCGGTCTGATTAAAAAATGTCCTCATTTATCTTTCCAAAATTTACAATTTTCAATTATAATTTTCCTACAAAAATGATCTTCTAAAACAAGGATGGAAAAACGTTATTGTGTTTCTTAGGAAAGGTAAAAAAGTATAATACTCCAATAGGAGTCCTGAGAATCAACACCACATAAACATAAACATAATTGTGAATCCTGCAACTAGTGTAGGGTCACTTGGTAACATGTCGACAGTCCCATTAATGACAGTTTTTGCGATAATTTGAATTTGTCCATTTCCTTGTTCAGATTTCCTTTCTTAGATATAGGACATGTTTCGTCTAAACCACCCCCCTCTTCCAACTTTAATTATAAACGTCATTATTTATTGCATTTTTCCATTTCAATTTCAAACAAAAAATGGAGAATACAAAAAGTAAAGCTTGAAAGGTTTTCATTTTTCTCCAAAATTTGTTTTTAATTTTCTATTAAGGTAAACGGTTGTTAAAGCATAATTGTATAATGTGTAATTATTTTATTTTTAGAGAACCGGAAGTAGAATTTGGTCTCCAGAAGATCAAAGAACTCTGGCAGGCGGGAGTGAAACCAATAAAAAATTTACATCTGGTAGTGTTATCAGTATAGACCTTGGTTCAGACAGTGACCCGGAGACAGGATCCAGCAAGAGAAGGGGAGAAGGTGGAGGAACTATGAGTGTCAAGGAGAGGAAAGAGCGGAATGACATGATCAAGTTTAAAGTTAACACAGCAGAGAAGGAGGAGAAGACAGTTCCTGTTTCAAAAAATGTTTTCGGTGACAACGTTGAAGACTCAGATAATGATGATCCAACAAAGCAGAAGAAAGATACTTCTAAAACTGAAACTAAATCTTCAAAAGATGATATGGATGAAATAGAAATTTTGTCGACTGATAACAATCGGATGACAAGTGAATATGGATCAGTCCCGCGCAATTCAACTAATGTTTTCCGTGGATCGGACAGAATGTCTGAGAATAGATCCTATACCCGTAATCCTGATACAATGAATCCCATGAATCCTGGATTGATGTATGAACGTGAATCCGGATCTATGGATTATCCGAGGAATAGTATGGAACCTGGATATTTAAATTTTCCACGAGGACCTGACTCTCTAAACATTAGAATGCCTAACAATACCTTGTCAAACAACCCTGGCAGTGAAACGAGGAACTACTATAATGACTGGGAGGATTCCCAATTTCATGACAGTAGAGGAAACCCTCCTTTCCCAAGCGGGAGATATTGAACTTTTTGTATTGACATTTCATGTTGTTGTTCACCTTTGGTTCTTCTTGTTATTTAAATATAAGTAATAAAATACTTAATAAATATTACACAATCTTTGTCTCTTGGTGATTAAAAAATATTAAAAGAAATTAACTTTTTGGTTCCCGTACGAGATAGACTGTAGATTTAAATTCTAGTCACCCACCATTTTGGTGTGGCATGTCAGATTCACAATGGAAACCTTGCAGTTTACACGCTTAGTCTGAGAAGTATTGGATTAGTCATCCATGTTTTTCTTTATTAAATCTAATTATTTTCAATTGTGGTGTGCTACATTAGTGACATGGCAATTAGGAACGGAGAAAATCTTAATATTAAACAAAGACGACTATATTTTCAAATAACGGATTTTAGGTAACCGTTGTAAAACGGACTTCTGCCCCTTTGAAAATTTAGAGTCCTTTAATTACAATGAAAGTTACGGGTATATAAAGTTAGACGGAAAACATGATATTGTAGAATTGATCAATTTGATACACATGTGTCGGGAATATTTATATTTATGAGCGTGTGTGTCTGGCTAAATTGCAATTAATAATTTTCCTAGAGGTAACAAAGAATATGCAGATGGCTTTTCCCCCAAGATTAGCCATTTAGAAACAGGAGATTGTTTTTGAACGAGTACTAAACGACTTAATTAATACCATGGTCAAAGCCGGATTCCACTACTATTTAGATAATTCATGATTAATTTTCAAATCCAAATTTAGCAAAGGTGGGAGTACTTAATAAAGGTTGTAAAGATCTTTTTTAAAAGCGATTGGAAATGAAATTGATGATATGCAGCTTTTCCCCATCATATTAGGGTTTCATCAACCATCAAGTTACTTTTACAAAGGATTTGAGCCTTTGTCACAAACACAAAGCTTATAATCCCTATATCTTTGCAAGCCTTTGATATTTCAAACTCGAGTTATCTACTCTAACAGGCTTTATAGTTTGAAATTTCTAAGGTCTACGACGTTATAGGGTCCGGTTGCAGCGATATTGGGAATAGAAAATCAGAGATTATGCCAAAGACTCAATATCTTTGAACCACTTATCTTCAAATTGAACCGGCGTACAAGATAATTGGTTCAACTACAAGGTGGATAATATAATAAATCTAGTTTATGATAGACAAATATGAATCAAATTTCAATCTAGCTTCAAAACGAATAATACGTTTTGATTCACAGTTTTTAATTTCTCATTTAGAGCCTTTACCAACATACTATTCGGACTAAGGTCTTGTATTCAAATTAATTACATTTAAGGGCGCTTCGCGCCCACCCTTTTGTGCTTATTAGAAATTTTGTTTTAAATCCAATATTTTGGGCAGCAGGTGCAGTTAAGTACAACGAGTCCCACTAAAATGATAATTTAAAGACGAACTATTAAGATAATGAATATAAAAACATATTGAACAATAGAAATGCAGTTGTAATTACGATTTGTAGCATATTCAATATACTTTACAGGGTTACCCACTTAAAATATAAGACTTCCGAGCGACTGCAGTGAATTTATTCTTTCTTCTTTCGAATATTTCAAACTTCTTACGGATTTAAACATTTGAATATTATTTAGTTCACTTAGGTTAATCAAGACAGAAGACTAAATTTAACCTTCAGATTTTCAGAGCTTAAAAACGTTAGGTTGTCATTTTAATTCTAGTTTTTGGCTGGTTAACCCTTGTTAAACTTATAATGTTAACAAGTTCCAGTCCAACACGGTAAGTTTGATAAGTTAGATAAGTTAGATTGAAATTTGCGAGAAAACATTTTTAAATAAGGACATACAGTGAGAATCTTAAAACTCTGAAATAGGAAGACGACTTTTAGACTCAAGATGGGACTATAAACAGTCTACTGAAGATAAAACACAGAAATGTGCAATGCAAAACAGACCCATTTCACTTAATATGTTATTTAATAAGTTACTAGTATAACTAACAATTTGGTAATTAATAATTTGGTAACTAATTATTTGGTAACTAACAATTTGGTAACTTGACAATTTGGTAACTAATAATTTGGTAACTTAACAATTTGGTAACTTGACAATTTGATAACCTGACAATTTGGTTTACAATAAAATTCTGAAATGAAATAAGCAGGACTATTTAAAGATTTATGATTCACCAGGTTTATTAAACTTTCATATATCATTTACTTCTTTCACATATGATTACATTTAAACTACATGCTTATGAGGAAACTTAAATTCATTAACTGATCCAGGTACTCCTCTACAGTTGATTCATCCCATTTGGAGCAAATGTTATGAAGCTGTCTCATTCGCTCAAGCTGGGTTTTGTTTCTAGAGCTGTTGTGGGACTGGTGCATATCTCTCAGATATTCTGAAAATTACCAAATTGTTAGGTTACCAAATTGTTAGTTACCAAAATATTAGATACCAAATTGTTAGTTACCAAACTGTTAGTTACCAAATTATTAATTACTTATAATCCGCCCATCATGGGTGGTCCCGTTAAGGATATCGTAATTTTCAACTAACATATTCCAAGAATTGTTTGGGGCTATTTTGTTAATCAAGAGAGTTGCGCTTTAAAAAAAAATAAAATCTAGAAGAGGATAATTATTTTAATGTTTTCTAGTTAACACTTTACTGTACAGTGAGGTACAGAAAACTCGGGAAAAGGAAGTTGACGTTCAGACTAAAGTTATGTATGACTGTAAATAGTTCAAAGAACATGAGAAACAGTAATTGTCTAGCGTGAACAGACCCATTTCACTTAATAAGGGATTTAATGAGTTACCCGTAAAACTATTTGATTTCCAACCCCATTAAAATGCCTCCAATAGTGCTATAATGCCGTCGTCCTATTCTATAGTTTTTTGGTTCTCACTGTATCAACACTTTTTTTCAGATTAGTTAACATGGAGTTCCAAACGGTTTTCAATATCGAGCTTTTATATATGCTGTCAAAAGGCTGTAGAGATGTACAGAGGTAAAGAAGCCCAGAGATTTTTAAAAATTACAAAGTCTCCAGAATTAAACAAATCCAGAGATTTTAAATATTAACAGAGTATCTTAAATCGAACACTTACACAGATTTTGAATATTTACAGAACCTCCAGAATTAAACAAGTCCAGAGATTTTTAATAATTACAGAGACTAAAGAATTAAACAAATCAAGAGATTTTAAATATTTACAGAGTCTCCAGAATTGAACACTTATACAGATTTTGAATATTTACAGAACCTCCAGAATTAATCAAGCCCAGAGATTTTTAATAATTACAGAGACGCCAGAATTAAACAACTCCAGAGATTTTAAATATCTACAGAGCATCTAGAATAAATCAAGTTCAGAGATTTTAAGTATTTACAGAGTTTTCAGAATAAAACATTTACACAGATTTTGAATATTTACAGAACCTCCAGAATTAAACAAGCCCAGAGATTTTAAATATTTACAGAGTTTCCAGAATAAAACACTTACACAGATTTTAAATATTATAAAAGAAGTTCAAAGATTTTAAATATTTACAGAACTTCAAGAATTAAAGATATAGTTTCTCAATATTTATGGAATATGCAAATCGTCTTTTAGCAGTAATCAAAGAAAGATAAAGTTTTTGAGAAAATAATACGATCATTTCTAGTGCCGCAGGTTAAAGCTTACTTATCTAGAAGAATTGAAAATATTTATTGTATTTTTTGTTCTACATATGTTTGTTGACAGATAACAGCAAACACACCAGACAAATTTGAACAATAGGCCCGTGGGAATTCTGGTGGGGGATATTTGTTCTCCCCGGACAATTCTTTCCCGGTTGGCCGCAAATACACACAACAGAGTAACCCCAGTCTCAAGAAAATCGATAACAAAAGCTTTATTTCCTAAAAAATAACATAAATTATAGGTCATGGTTATTTGTACAATGTTATAATAAATATTAATAATAGAAAAAATCTTACGATTTATTTGCGGATGATAAAGGGGTAACTTATTGTTGATCAGTATTGAAATACGTTTTTTTTAAAACTTCTGAAATAAATTACAGTTGAATATTTAACGAAATTCACTAATTCTTCATATGAAAATATTCTTGTTTAGCTTTAATGGTTTTACAACAAACGAAAGTGTTTTAGGCTCCGTCCCTGGAGAACAAAGAAAATGGGGGGCTGAAATTATTTGGTTTGGTGTCTCCGAGAGGGGATTTTGAGTTGAAGACGACATTACACTGAGGTCTTAAAGTTAATGGTTAACAATGTTGCATAAAATGTTTAATGTGGTATGGTTTATCCTGAAATTATGATTTCTAACTAGTTTAACGAGTTGAATCAATTCTTTTCGAATCAAGTTAATTGTGACTAGGAGGTTAATGAATGAGATGAAAGGGACTGGAAGCATAATCGATGTCAATGTTAGATTCACAACGGTAACCATAAAGGGTCTGTAAACTTCAGGAGTATCATGGCTCCTCTCCAGTTTGAGAAAACTCTAGCTGAACCTGGAATCAAGCCTGCTATAAAACAATTGTGATCTCCAATGCATATTTGTGCCAAATCACAATATTCCCAATATAAAGCTTTTAATATTTTATATTTCAGAGTAGAATATGATCATGATCTTCAAGAGTGAAGCTCTACTGCCTGCTCTTGAACCTGTTGAGCTTTCCAGCTCAGGAAATCAGGTTGGATATTGCTAATAATTGTAATAACTACATTGGGTTTTTACAAGAATTACTTTTGCTTAATAAAAGTATTCGTATTCAGGAATACCAGATTTGAAACTAAATCTGATTAACCTGATCGTTATTGAGCTGAGGATCACTGGATCCTGCTAAACTCGGTGCAGCTGATCTCCTTATAAGCTCATAAGTTGAAAGAAAATGTTGAACTTTAATGGAGACAAACTTTAAATAAATATTTTAGTTCCGACCGCTAAAACTTGAACTACTAGCAGTTCTAAGTGTCTCCTATTCAGAAGATTGAGAGCCTTGTTAGGTGAAAACAACCTATATGATTGTTAAACCCTTAACTTACAAAATGTATGTATAGGAGAACCCGCTACGGGGTGTCTCACATCATATTGCGATTTTTGGGACTAATCAGAAAATTTAAGAAGAATCATTTTGAAATATTTAATAAGGCTAATATAATAATTTTCTTACGAAAATACTAGTTTTTATTTAATATTATGGTTTTATTTGGCGTTAAAACTTGGAGATAATCTAATATGATATGGGACGCTCTGGAGTATAAAACCTCCTTGATCTAAAACAGCTAATTACACTCTACAGGGTTGAGGGTACCGTCCTTTTTCTAGAGAATTAGATACATTTTTCAAAAGAGCTTAAAAATTGGGTAAGGAATCAATCTTGACAAAGCATAAGATTGATTTTTGTTCAGGAATGGCATGAATAGCCATCGTGATTTAACTGTTCTGATCCTGGAAGTTTAGAGCTAAACCTGAAACCAAACTAAACTAAACCTCACTAACTGGACTGGACTAAGCACCAAATTGTAAGTAACCTTGTGAATAATCTAATAATAATCTTTCTTCACTCCTCTGCATCAATCAATCAATCTGAACATTTCTTTGCTGAACCCATCAATCAAGCTGAACATTTCTTTGCTGAACCCATCAATCAATCTGGACATTCTTCTTTGAATCTACCAATCAAATGGATGTTATTTATCAAAGAAACTTCAATTTTTAAAATTAAAAGCCTTTTCATAAAGAAATTGAAATACTTTTTTATAAATGAGACAAATGTTTTATCTTTCTATCTGATAACTGATATTTTACTATAAACATTTTATATAAATAAAACTAACTTTATGTTTTTGTTTCAGGTTGACCACCAAGATGTTTATAAAGAATTAAACCAACTTGTTCTTTTACTTCGTGCACAAAGAGTTAAAAAAGAGTTTACAGGGACTGTAAAATTATAAGAGTGTACAGGGACTGTAAAATGAAAGTGGGGATAGGCTTCAGCCTAAAAAAATTAGAAGTTGATCGCGGCCCAATATTAGTTCTATCTAATGATATGAACCTGTGCCAAAGTTTAAAAAACTCGTATATATGTATAATATGGACAATTTTTAATTATAGTTTTTATTTGCCAATTACTCCTTTTACACTTAAGCTAGAAACAAGCGTATTGCATTTTTAAAACAAATATGTCCAGGGCTGCAAAAAAGTATTTATGAGGTAAAAACCAAGGGTCATGGCGTTGCGACACTTTTAAAGTCAAGGCTGTCTAAAAAATGAATGAATAAGTTTTAAAGCTGTATATATCTCAGTGATACTGAACCGGCCATTGGTGGAATTTTTTATCTGTTTATTTTTATTTTTTACAAAAGTGACTTGCATATTTCTTGCTTATATGAAACACTTGATAAATTGTCACAATTAAATACTTTTTTAATCAGAAAAACCATGTTATCTTTCACATTTTGATCAGATAAAGGTTTCAAGGGTACCTTGACATCTTTGCATTCAAGATCACTCGAAATTACACTTGCAGTCCCATTAATGTTTCAGGAGAGAATGGGAAACATTTATCCGCTACCCGAGGATCCTAATCTCAACTGTCTAGCCGTAGGGTTCAGGTCAAGAGAGAAGGGGGTGGGATGGCAGTTGTGAGGGGTATAGGGGGGAGAATAGCAGCTTAATTTACGGTGCAGGGTTACCCACAAAGGATGATACTTTAATTACGACCTAAAATCCTAAGAAAGATCCCCAAATGCAAGAAAAAAGACTGATCAAATTCTTTAAAGTCACTCCCTTAGTCGTAAGTCTTTGTGGATAACCCTGCACTGATAGTATTGAGTTAGGGAACGGCATCTGCAGATGTGACACGGGGTGGGGGGGGGGGTGCAGTTGTGGAGTGCATAAGTAATTAAAATCTTTTTAATGGGCCTTATATCTTTGCAACCTAATGTCGAAGATCATTGATATTTCAAAATATTAATTCTGCTAGTTCGAATTGTTAAATTTTGAATCATCTAAGGTTTTACCCCATCAAGTTGCAAAGATATAGGGATTAGAAAATTTAAGTTTGAAAAGTAGTTCGGAATCCTTTCTTTATTCTCACAACCTTTCTTTACTCTCATAACTATGTCGTCCCAGTCTAAGAAGTAAGTCGGTTTTGAATGCAAAATTGCCCATTTTTTTCCTTTGGGATCTTAAAATCAAGTTTTTTCCTTAGAAAAAGTTTAACTTTAATGTTTGAAATATTAGAACTTATCATAAAGATTACAATTACATACAATTTTACATTATACATGTTGTATGAGTTTACCGTATAATCTTCAAAAAAGTTGATTTTCTATAAAGTTCAGATTTAAAAATAAAATATGAAGACACTTTTTACCTATTTGAACACTAAACTTACAAAAAATATGTTTAATTTTGTTGTTGTTGTTGTTGTAGGCCAACTGATACCATCAAAGTTTTCCATGCAACTAAACAAGCAATTAGAAGAATAGGTAGCAAATATATTTATTAATTAAAACAAGAGGTTCGTATATATATATATGTTGCCTATAGCCGACCAAACGTCTGGACCGTATGGGCTGAAATTTTTTGTGAGCTAAAAAAAAATTCGAATTTTTTTAAAAAATTTTATTGAATTAAAAATGGGACATATCTTTTATTAAAGATTTTTAGACATTATGTTCTTAATGTAAATTAACAGAATACATATTTCTAATGAAACATTCACAAAAAGTATTTTTTTTAATGAAAATTAACAGAAATTATTTTATAATGAAAATAACAGAAAGTATTTTTTAATGTAAATTAACAGAAAGTATTTTTAATGAAAATTAACAGAAAATATTTTTTAATATAAATTAACAGAAAATATTGTCTAGGATATATTGTGAGGGAAGTAAACAGTTCCTTTATATTGTCTAGAATATATTGTAAGGGAAGTCAACAGTTGCTTTATATTGTCTAGAATATATTGTGAGGGAAGTGAACAGTTCCCTTATATTGTCTAGGATATATTGTGAGGGAAGTGAACGGTTCCTTAATATTGTCTAGAATATATTGTGAGGGAAGTGAACAGTTCCTTTATATTGTCTAGAATATATTGTAAGGGAAGTGGACAGTTCCCTTATATTGTCTAGGATATATTGTGAGGGAAGTGAACGGTTCCTTAATATTGTCTAGAATATATTGTGAGGGAAGTAAACAGTTCCTTTATATTGTCTAGAATATATTGTGAGGGAAGTGAACAGTTCCCTTATATTGTCTAGGATATTTTGTGAGGGAAGTGAACGGTTCCTTTATATTGTCTAGAATATATTGTGAGGGAAGTGAACATTTCGTTTATATTGTCTAGAATATATTCTGAGGGAAGTTAACAGTTCCTTTATATTGTCTAGGATATATTGTGAGGGAAGTGAACAGTTCCTTTATATTGCTTAGAATATATTGTGAGGGAAGTGAACGGTTCCTTTATATTGTCTAGAATATATTGTAAAGGAAGTGAACAGTTCCTTTATATTGTTTAGAATATATTGTGAGGGAAGTGAACAGTTTCTTTATATTGTAAAGAATATATTGTGAGGGAAGTGAACAATAGAATATATTGTGAGGGAAGTGAACAGTTCCTTTATATTGTCTAGAATATATTGTGAGAGAAGTAAACAGGATCACTGATGGATCGGACAGATTAGATTCAGAAGAAGAGGAATTCATTTTAAAAAATATTATTACAGTCAGAACTAGAAAATTCTGGAATATGAAGACGCCGCTTGGATACATGGTATGATTTAAAATACTCCAATTTGAACATGAATTGCGTGATGCAAACAGACTCATTTCACTTAATAAGTGATTTAATAAAAAACATTATGTCGTTAATGTCGTCTTCCTATTCCACAGTTTTCTGGTTCTCACTGTACTATATTTTTCCAAAACTAAAAAATGAAAACTCCCTGCAGTCTCCTGGATATCATAAATTTCAACTAAAGAGTGCAAACTTTAACGAAGGAGCAGGTAAATATCAAATAAAAAGATAAAGTATTTTTTGAAGTCAAACAATTAGACGATTAAAGAACTAGGAAAAATGTAAATATGACAATCAAAGAAAGATAGGATGAAAGACTAAAATATAATTATTAAATAAGATCGAAATTATAATTATTTACAGCTACTTTACAGGGAAAGTTAAGGGAATTTTACTTTGACAAGGGTTCCTTAGACCAATTTTGCTTACAAAACATCCAGAGCACAGCGAGGGATGTTTTGCTGGCAAAATTTGTCTGCTTGGAACCCATGGTAAAGTAAAAATTTTAAATTTCCCGAAAAAGTAATTGTACACAATATTATCGTCTTTTGAGATTAAAATCCGCGATTTATTTAATAAAAACTTCGCAGAACAGTTCGTTATTTTACTTTATTGTCCCGGGGACGTAAAGTAGCTTAACGTCTATCTGTTGGAGAATCATGGGTTGGTTATAAGAAAAATAAATTACAGGTCTGGAAGCATCAACTGCTGGAAAACTTTTCGTACTCAGGTGAAAGGAATTTTAAAAAATAACAGTTAGACCAGGCTAAAATGGCCGTGCCGGGTACATTTATTAGGCGTGAACGGCACTGTGTTACTTAAATGGATTTAAAATACAAGAAGTTCGCTCTTTAAACTTTTGACTGAATACCAAGAAAAAGGTTGAATTCACAAAAGTTCCTTCATTGTTTCTGAAGTCGAATTGGTGTACGGTTAGACTTGGAATACCGTACAACAGTGCAGTACAGTAAGAAACACACTGTTGTACATGGTGTTCGGTACGATAAAACGTCGGACTGGTTTACAAGCAACCAGTAAACTGGTATTAGTATGACTAAGGGCAAAACATTTCCTCTTATATTTACTGTTTTTATGAATTTAAGACGACAATATGGTATCTAAGACTTGTGAAGGAAGGTTTTACTATAAATATTGACTCTTGGTTCGAAATTAGAAATATGACCATTCAAGTTCTGATTCAAAATCAAAGGGCGGTATTTGCTTTGAAATTATCATGATGGTTAAAAGTTGGTTTGAAAGTTAAATCTTTCTGATAATTAAGAATCCAAATCATTGTAAGTTAACCTAGGCTACTAGAGGAGATGTATATGATGGGTTATGATCCTGTAGTCAGCTCTGATCTAGTTAGGGAGAAGGATGTTGCAACTCTTTTCTTTAAGAAGGTCAGTATAACATGGTTCAAGAGAAGGATGTTGCAACTATTTTCTTTAGAAAGATCAGTTCATGGTTCAAGAAAAGGATGTTGCAACTATTTTCTTTAGAAAGGTCGGTACATGATTAAAGAGAAGGATGTTGCAACTCTTTTCTTTAGAAAGGTCGGTACATGGTTAAAGAGAAGGATGTTGCAACTCTTTTCTTTAGAAAGGTCGGTACATGGTTAAAGAGAAGGATGTTACAACTATTTTCTTAGAAAGGTCGGTACATGGTTAAAGAGAAGGATGTTGCAACTATTTTCTTCCTAAAGGTTAGTACATGGTTCAAGAGAAGGACGTTGCAGTTCTTTTCTGTAGAAAGTTTAGTACAGAATTTAAGAGAAAGATGTTGCAAGTACTTTCTTTTAAAAAGGTCAGTAAATGGTTCAAGGGATGTTGCAAGTTTTTCTTTTGAAAGGTCAGTATAGGTTTCAAGAGAGGGATGTTGCAATTCTTTTCTTTAGAAATAACAGTGCAGAGTTAAAGAGAAGGATGTTGCAATTCTTTTTGTATACATTCAATCGCACAATGCAGCTTACATAACCATGCTGTATAGTGTATACACTGTACAGTGTACACTTACTGCAGTACAGTTATTGTACTTCTTTTTACCTAAACACATCTTAGATTGTTTTTTTTTTATATTTTGTTGTTTAAGGTAACAGAGGAGAGACAGAGTATAAAAGTGTCCAGGTATAGGATGAGACTTTAATGACGACCTAAAACCCAACCTGAAAACCCAATCTGAAAACTGAAATTGATTGCATGTCTGATTCTAGCATTTTAAATCAATTACCAAGAAAAAAACAAGTTTACAGAATCAGGAAACCATGAATGTAACTTCTGTTCAGTCTTCTCTGAAGTCTCATCCTTTGTGGGTAACCCTGTATAGTAGATATAGACAGAACCTTTAAAATTATTCTACAGATGGCTTATTCTTATAAGTTCCGATGTGAAAGGAACTAATTACTACCCGCAAATCTAATCCTTACATCTTTGCAACCTGGGCCTTTGATATTTAAAACTTTAAATATTTAACTAGTTACTACCAAAGGAACCCATAAAACTGCGGATTAGAAAGAATATCCTGTTAGACTGAAGAATAGTCCAATGAACATTTCACTTCAAATGTTTATCTTAAAGCTACTAGTAAATATATTTGCTTTAAATTACAACCTCAAATACACATAATGTGCTTAAATGTCGTCTTCCTTTTCCACAGTTATGGAATTATGGGTATCAATCTAATATCATTCGCAATTATCAATCTTACTTTTTAATTACTCAGGAGGTTTGGACAAATTTAAGATGCTGCGAGGAGATGAACTTTTTGTTGACACTGTTAAGCATGCTATTCAAGCCACTTGGCCTGGAGGAATACAAAAGTAAGGTTTAGTTTAACATTGTGAAACAAATCAATCAATCCTTTTTTATGTACAGTTTACAATTTACAGAGAGGTATTTTGAATAAATCATGTTCTCCTCACCCTGGACTAACCAGAGTTAGAGGCATTCGGTTTATTCTATTTGAAATCATACGCGTTTTGGTCAATATTTTAACAATCTTAAAACTTACGGATTTGTTTGTTTAATACTATTTATTCAAAACGTATATGCCGACAAAAAAGTATTTAAGAAAAAAGGCTGAAAAATTTTGTTTAATTGGAAAAATTGTGATCGAAAATTGACAGAACCGTTATTTCCATGTGTCCTACATAGCTTTGTTTTTGAATAAATTGTACTGCAATTTCTGGGAAGAATGTAAACAAATAATGCTTCTCAGGCTAAGTCAGAGATATGAGAGTAAAGGATCTATTAAAGGCCTTAATATGCGGTATTTACCACAACGCGTTCAATTGTGTACAACTGGAGTACACGATCAATAAGCAGAACTGAAAACTTTAGAATGAGATATCCTTAATCCCGATCTGTTAATTAATCTGGAGATTAAATTCATGTGGACAACAAGCAATATTTAATCTGGAGATTAAGAAAAAGAGTGGATCAAACATAAATCCCGATATCCACCATTCTAAAGTTCCCAGGTCAGACATCTAAATTCAGTGATAATATAGGATCCTTTGGATACAAAATAGAAAACCTTCAAAAATAGACGAAATTCATAAATTTAATGATTTACGTTAAAAGGCATTTCTTTAAAAATTGTAAAACTTAACCCCTGAATGGGTGTTAAATAAAAAAAGTAGCGGCAATATTGCCGTCAAACCCTTTTGTAGAAATATAGTATGTCGTGCCATACGATCCAGGCGAACTTAGACCAGCCCTTAAAAGCTGATTAGCAGTCCTAGAAATGAGAAACTGTATAGTACACTTAATTTTTAGACAAAACTATGGAGTTCCTGAGCTAGAAACTTATATAGAGTATCGTAACAAAACCCAGTAGTTAAAACCAATGTCCAGAAATATTATTTCATGTGGTTCCTTTACATTCTCTTTTTGTTTTCCGATTTCTTTAAATAAAATCTACGCAACTCTGTAGACCCCCGAAAAGGAAATTCGAGAGTTTTGTTCAACGAAACTCTTTTAAAATCCTGATATAGGTTTATATCTTGGGTATAACAAATAAGCATGTATACAGGGAGTGTATATTGGTATCGGGAACAGAGAATGTTCATGAAGTAAAGCTTCATGGAACGCCATGGAACGATTGTGATGGGGAACAAAATTTCAGGTTAGAAAATATTATCGAGCTATTATTAAATTCAAAATATAATTTTTTAAGTAACAAGTTACACAATTGGCATTTTTCCTCTTTTTATGATAAGCTGTCATTCGAATCCTAATTATTTAATTGTGATATTTTTCATTTTTCATTTTCATTTTTTTTTACAGATTTACCTATGTTAGATAGAATTTATTATAGTATAGAGGTCTACAACATCAGAATGCAAAAATATAAGGATAAGTAAAATAGAGTTTGTGGCAACTTGGCCGAATTTAGAGATTTGTATATCAAATGTAATCAGCTGATGATAAGACTAATAGGTGAACTGGGTGGAGTTGGATATAAACTGATCTGTTCAGGTGTAATCAGCTGATGATAAGAATACTGGGTAGAGTTGGATATAAACTGATCTGTTCAGGTGTAATCAGATGATGATAAGACTACTAGGTGAGCTGGGCGGAGTTGGATATAAATTAATCTGTGGAACTAATCTTAAAGGAACCATGGATTCATTCTTCTTCTTCAAGGAGGAGTCCTACAGGTGAGCGATAAAATTAATCCCTTTAAACAGTCGGAAAAGTTATTGGTCTCATATTCAACAATTTATTACCTGTAATCTGCTATTTCTCTACTAAAATTAGAAATACATATCGCCATAAAGGAGCACGCCAAGTGGCCACAATACTTAACATTAAATGTATGAATGTAAAATAACACAAACAATTTATAGTATTTTACTACGCTTCACTTACTCAATTCAGAGCTAAACACTTTAGTATTGTGGAGATCAAGCTCATTGCTTGATCTCTTCTTTGTATTTAACTTAAGATTAATATAGTCTTAGATCAATATCTGGGAAAGTGTCTAAAGTGCAACTAATCAAAGTGTCGATTGTACAAACCAAACAGCCAATCAGAAGCCGAGAAATTTGGTGCGCCATCAATGAAAGAACTCTCATTGGTTCGAACCCAGCAGGGATATCCAATGATCCACTATAGTTTCATTAGGAGTAAACATTTCCATTAAATGTTAGCGCCGATTAAAGGATTCATGTCTCTCATTGGATAATGAGATAGATAGAAAGATAGATGGTACCGCCATACTATTTCTAATGGTTCAAAATAGACAACAAACACACGACTGAACCCTAATTGGATCTAGCACTAATGGACTCGGCAAACAAGTGTGGATCGATCAACAACGTTTACCCTTTAAACATGGAAGGAAATTGTGATAAATAAAAGACAATATCCTGCTCATTTTTACACAGATGGAGATTTAAGGGGTATCTTTGTGAATTGGACTTACCAATTTTGTAATAGAAGGTCAATTAAAACGCTATTTTTGAAACATATTTTCATTTTTACTTATATAACTGATAGAAGAAATGTATTAGACCTTGACTTTGGTACAGTATTTAAACGCACTGTTAAACATTGATACAGGTCTAAAAAGTATTTAATTTTAAGATTTTTTGTTACTTTGCTGTTAGTGTTTATTATGTTCTTCTATTAATAATGTAACGAGTTCACCGGGGAAATAAAATGGGGGAAGCGAATTATTAAAAATATTAAAAAGTTTAGATTCATAAAATAGATTTTTTAACCTCAAATTTATACATGAGCAGAAAACTTTAGAATGGGATATCCTTAATCCCGATCGGTTAAGTAATCTGGAGATTAATATCATGAGGAGAACAAGCATTATCTAATCTCGAGATTAAGTAAAAGAGTGGATCAAGCATTACTCCCGATATTCTAAAGTTTTCAGCTCTGGTTAGCTTATCTTTAAAAAGATACATGTAGCAAGTTGTAGAATAAAGTTAAATAATTCTGTGTATAATATTGCTCAAGTTTGAGGTTCAAAATATAGCAGAATTATTAATAAAACTCGCGATAATGTCATCTTTTTTTGCACATATGTGTTATCAAGCAGATTTTATAATTCTTCGTAGATAGTGTTTCTGAATTTATCGCATGCACTGCATAACTTCATATAAGCACTATAATAAACATGTTACACAGCGATTATGTATTCTACACAGACCCACTTTACTAAATAAGTGTTATGTTTAAGCTACTTATTGCTTTTAACAAAATTAAATAAACATGAGATTGATTAAATTTAATCTTCCTTTTCTAATTCTTATGTGTTCCAGTTAATACATTTTAGAAGACGTAAAAATCTCATATTTTTACATTTTTATTCCAAATCTCCTGCGGAGGACCCAGGGAATACAAAAAGTGGTTTGTTCCAACTTCTGAAAAAACGTGGGCAACTTATTAAAGAATAATTACTGGAAAGTAGTTTAAATTATCCTTTTCTGTTTATACTTCCTCTTTTTAATTGATTTTTGATTTATAGGGTTGGAGCGAGTGATTTCTGCATACTCAGTCTGAACAATGGAGATTTAATCAGGTAAATCAATGATTACGTAGATAATAAGAATGATAATTAAAATCTCCCGGTGGTTAACGTGCATTGAGTTTTAAGTACAAAATAACAACAGTTTGTTTCAAAGCTAAAGTGTAAAAGCATATCGTTAACATTACATGAACAAAGTGTCCGCCTGGGAAACATACTAGTTCTTGAAGTCGTCTCTCTACTGTCAAGTTTTCCTAGCAATTATGTGTCTCTAATATGTATAACAATACACTCTCAAAAAGGGTATGATTTATATGATGAAGATACGTCCTCAAAAAAAGTCGTAAATTCGGTAAAATTTTTCCTTGTTGCTTAAATCTACAGTCACATAGAGAACTGCAATTGAAAACATTAATTTTTAGATAATAAAACTAGGATATCTATCTATATATAAATTTGGCTTGTCTGTCTGTTTGTAGTGACCACAGGGAAGGTTTATGAATGATAAAAATTTTAAAAATGTGTTTTAATGGTTTTTAAATTTGTAAAAAAATTTAAATTCTTGAAAATCCGCGAATTTTTTTTTAAAAATCCGCAAAATTTTTTTCTTTTTTGTTTTAAAATGTAAACAAAAAGAACATGTTCACAATTTAAATAGAAGATGGGCGCGAAGCGCCATAAAAGCCTAGTCTTTATAAATTTTGTTCAGAAAAGGTTTTAAATGTATTATTGTGAATAGAGCATTATAACTAGTTTTTAAATGCATGAAGATCACCTTAAATCACGCCAAAGTTCCCTTTAAATGTATTTAGGTTGATTGATTGCAATGATATGATTGAGAGTGTTGAGAATGCCATCAATAAATCTGAATATAAAATACAGAGAATAAGTTCTGAATACGGAGGTATCGAGTTCAAATTGAAGGTACAGTGTGCACTTTAAACAAAAATTAGGAGTTTATTTGCTCATTGCTCATAAAGCTTTTAATATGCAATTTCAGGGCTGCCCTTGGAACTGCAGCGGAGTACCAGCTATTGAATCAAGGAGACTTCTGTGTAGAATTTCAGAGGAATTATTAGCTCAGGTAGCACAATAGGAACTGGAATGTCGGAGGGATGATAATCTTAGGTAATAGAGAAGGAACTTATATATCGGAGGTATTATTAGCTCATGTGTAGTGGATAAGGAACTTATATATCGGAGGGATTATTAGCTCATGTATAGTGGATAAGGAACTTANGATGTAAGATGTAAGATGTAAGATGTAAGATGTAAGATGTAAGATGTAAGATGTAAGATGTAAGATGTAAGATGTAAGATGTAAGATGTAAGATGTAAGATGTAAGATGTAAGATGCAAGATGTAGGATGCAAGATTTAGGAACTGAAATGAAAAGGAGACAACCTTGGTCTTAACACTTGTTGGATGAAATGTTCTTGAAGGATTTTCAGCCTTTTTTACTTTGTATTTGTTACTTTTAATACAACTTTTTGGCTTAAACAAAAATGTGTTCTGCTTTATTTTGTTTAATCCCATTGGGGTTTAAAAAAAGAAAAGACCAAAATGTTAATCGGTAAAACAAAAAAGCTCACACAACTCAAGGATGATCATTCTAGGTATTAAAATGGAAAGAGCTAACTCAAACATGAACCAGTTCCAAGCGTAAAGCAAAACTTATGTAATTGTAATTAAAGTTGATTTTTGAAAAAAATTCTTGGTGCTTAAAAAGTTAAAAAATTAAATGCTGATGAGTTCTGTAGTATGATGTGAGATGTTTCGATCTACCGCAAAATCCAGAGATAATTTCAAGGATGCTCGAGGGGAGGAAAACTTAAGCTGCCGACTTTTCCAGAAGAAATTCTGAGTTGAATCATTTTTCGAAATGTCTTCTTTATACAAAGATACTAAGATTTTGTTTTTATTGTTATTGGATTAGGTGCTAAAAAATAACTAATATCTAGACGAAATCATTTTCTTCGAGGTTGTAGCTAGCAGAGAAATAAAGCTGATGTAAAATTAGCTTTGGTGCAAGCTTGGAAATAAATCTGATGTAAAGAAAGCAAGGGTTTGTTTACTACCATCGGAGATATTATTAACTCAGATAGTATCTAGCATAGAGAAGAAAAAAACATATTGTGATGTACACAATCGACCACTATATTAATTTTGCAATAGGGTGGTCCGTTGTGTACATCTGAGGGGATAACGAGATAAGCGTTCTTCCTTTTCTTTCTCTATGGTATCTAGAGATTGAATACTTACTCAGAGAGTAGATAGAGACTAGAGAGTAAGTAAAAGGCGTATAGGTGGAAATTAAGAGGGGGTTTGGGTGTCTTATAGGACGGAGTCGGTTTATCTCCCCCTGTACACATTCTTGTTTACGCCCCTGCACATATTCTTGTATACGCCCCTGTACATATTCTTGT